GTCACCTATATGCTTGCCAAAATATTTATGGGTAAAATGAAATGATGTCTTGGATTTGCTTCAACATAGCACAGGAGGGGGGCCATGGCTGAGGGTATGGATGAAGCAGGATTTGCTGCAACTTGACAGTTGTTGAAACCGGGTCTTAGGTACGTGTGGGTCCATGTTATTCTACTATTGTATATGTTGGATATTTTTCACAATAATAGAAAAAGATTATGAAGTCAATATATATTACAACCTAAGTGAGAATGATGGTGTACTGAACACATTTTTTAGCCTTGCCTTCCTCTCAAGACCTCATTGAAATGACAGTAAAGAAATATGCAAGAGATTAAACCCACAATGGAGAGGAGAACTAGAGTGGGTTCCTCAGTGTACCAGCGTTAATAGCATCTGGAAGACAAAGTAACAGGAACACTGACAATATAAAAGAGCACAAGAAGGCTGGGCACGGTGGCTTACACCTGTAATCCTAACCCTCTGGGAGGCTGAGGCAGGCAGATCACTTGAGACTAGGAGTTCGAGGCTGCAGTCAGCTATGATCGCACCACTGCACTCCAGCCCAGGCAACAGAGCGAGATCTGTTTCTTATACACACACACACACACACACGCACGAGGAAGCAATCTAGAATGTCCAAAAGCAGAAGCAGATTCAGGCTTTGTAAGACCTTAAAATTATGCAATTTTAAAAACAGCTTTATTGAGATGTAATTAATGCACAAAACTGGCTCATATTTAAAGTTATAATTTGATGAGATTTACATTTGTAGACACCGCAAGACCATCAGGATGATGGACATGCCCATTACCTCCAAAAGGTTCCTCATCTGACTGCTGTCACTCAGTGTGGGGTCATCGGTGATGCGTGCATGTATCAGTAGTTGGTTCCTCATGTATCAGTAGTTGATCTACTCAGAGAGGAGTAGCATCCATTGTATGGATGTACCACAATTTGTTTACTGTTCATCTGTTGGACATTTGGGATGTTTTCAGTTCTTGCTGCTGGCAAATCAAGCTGCTGTGAACTTTCACATTCGTATGCCAGTGTTTGTATCTACATGTTCTTTCATTTCTTGCAGGTAAATACCGTGGAGTGCAGTGGCTGGGTCATATGGTAAGGGTGTGCTTAGCTTTTTAAGGAACTGCCGTCATGTTCTCCAGAGTGCTCATACATGTTACATTCCCACCAGCAGAAGAGTGCCAGCGGCCGAACACCCACTCCAACTGTGGTTTAGCCAGGCTTTTTAATTTTATTCATTCTAATGGGTGTGTGCTGCCGTCTCGTGATTTTAACTCACATTTCCCTATCGTGACATCTTTTCATAAACTCACAAACCTTGCTTGCCATTTGTGTATCTTCCTTAGTGAAGTGTCTGTTCAAATCTTTCGCCTGGTTTTTAACTGGGTTGTCTTACTTAGTTCTGAGTTCTGTGTATATTCTGGATACAAGTCTTTCTGTCAGATATGTGTTTGCAAATATTTACCCCTAGTCTATGGTTTGCCTTTTCATAAGTGTCTTTGGAAAAGCAAAGTTTTCCATTTTTACAATGTTCAATTTATTGATTTTTTAATAGTTCATGCTTCTTGTGTCCTCGTATATTAGTTTTCTGTAGCTGCTATAACAAATTACAACAAATGTATTCTTTCACAGTTCTTGAGGCCAGAAGTTCCACATCAGTTTCACTGGGCAGAAACCAAGGTGCCAGCAGGGCTGCAACTCCCTCCAGAGGCTCTAGGGAAAAAAATTTTTTGAGACAGGGCTTCGATCACAGCTGACTTACTGCAGCCTCGACCTCCCGGGCTCAAGCAATCCTCTCACCTCAGCCTCCCAAGTAGCTGGGAATACAAATGCATGTCACCCCATCCAGCTAAATTTTGTATTTTTTATAGAGATGGGATTTCCCCATGTTGCCCAGGCTAGTCTTGAACTCCTGGGCTCAAGTGATCTGCCGATCTGGGCCTTCCAGAGTGCTGAGATTATAGCACTCCTGGCGAGAGCCACCCTGGCGCCAGCATGGAAGGGGTAGTGCTTGTGTTTCATGCTCCACCTCGATGGCCGTGGTTTACCTGCAGGACTGGCTGATTTTGCTGTCCTGGCCATGTGGCTGCTCTTTGTTCCTGCCCAGTTCTCAAATCTGGGCCCTCCCAGCCACCTGTGAGCCCTTCGACACTGTCGGCAAAGGTCTTTTCCAATTCAGTCAGCCAGAGCTGGTCTCTATTACTTGGGACTCAGGAGTTTTCCTGATAAAGGGTGTTTGCAAGAAGTCCATCGTGAGCACCGTGCTTGGCTGTGAAATATGAGTGGCATTTCCATTTCAGTGGGCAGCAGGCCAGTGGCTGTCATCAGCACCCTGCTACTCAGCTTTGTTCTGGGGGACTTAGGCAATGTCCTAAGACAGGATGGAGAAATGAAGTTTCTTAAACACAAAACAGACACACTGTCTCTATTGCCCACTATCGTCCCCACCCCATGTAAACTCCATGAGGGTACGGATCCTTGTGTTTTAGGGTTACTGCTGTACGTTGAGCACCTCGAACCATGCCTGGTATATAGCAGGTGTTCTGTTAACATTTGCTGAATATGAATTCACAAAGAATAATAAAATCATTCACCTAAAAAATCCAATAAAATCAACTGAAAAACTATTTGAACAAATAAGAATGCAATAAAGTATGTGTTAAGAGGTAAGCATATGTAAATCAGTGACTTTCTTATATACTGGCAATGAGCATTTTAGAGATGAACACCACCTCATTTGTAAGAGCAAGAACAACAAAATCTAAGAATAAATTTAAGAAGAAATGTTCAAGGAAAGGCTTGTGCCTGTCATCCCATTTACTCAGGAGGCTGAAGTGGGAGGATCTCTTAAGCCCAGTGTGGGGAAAAGAAAGATCAGACTGTTACTGTGTCTATATAGAAAGAAGTAGACATAAGAGACTCCATTTTGTTCTGTATTTGAGATGCTGTTAATCTGTGACCCTACCCCCAACCTTGTCCTTGCAAGAGACATGTGCTGTGGTGACTCAAGGTTTAAAGGATTTTGGGCTGTGCAGGGTGTGCTTTGTTAAACAAGTGCCTGAAGGCAGCTTGCTGGTTAAAAGTCATCACCATTCTCTTAATCTCAAGTACCCAGGGACACTCACACTGCCAAAGGTCGCAGGGACCTCTGCCTAGGAAAGCTAGGTATTGTCCAAGGTTTCTCCCCATGTGATAGTCTGAAATATGGCCTCGTGGGAAGAGAAAGACCTGATCGCCCCCCAGCCTGACACCCGTGAAGGGTCTGTGCTGAGGAGGACCAGTACAAGAGGAAAGAAGGCCTCTTGGCGGTTGTTGGCAATTGAGATAGAGAAAAGCATCTGTCTCCTGCCCGTCCCTGGGCAATGGAACATCTCGGTATAAAACCTGATTGTATGTTCTGTTTACTGAGAAAGGAGAAAACCGCGTTAGGGCGAAAGGCGGGACTTGCTAGCACAATGCTGCTCTTTGTGCACTAAAAAGGCTTATGGAGATGTTCACATATGCACATCAAGACACAGCACTTTTCCTTAAACTCATTCATGTCACAGAGAACTTTATTCATATGTCTTACTGCTGACTTTCTCCCTACAATGATCCTATTATCCTGCCACTTCCTTTTCTTTAAGATGGTAAAGATAATTATCAATAAATACTAAGGGAACTCAGAGACCGGTGCCGGCGTGGGTCCTCTGTAAGCTGAGCGCCGGTCCCCTGGGCCCACTTTTTCTTTCTCTATACTTTGTCTCTGTGTCTCATTTCTTTTCTTAAGTCTCTCGTTTCACCTAACGAGAAACGCCCACAGGTGTGGAGGGCTAGGCCACCCCCTTCAGCCCAGGAGTTTGAAACCAGCCTGGACAACATAAAGAGACCTCATCTCTTAAAAAAGTAAAAAATAAAAGTTTTTTTTATTTTAAAAAAAGATATGGGAGGCTGAGGTGGGAAGATCCCTTGAGCCCGGAGTTCGAGACCAGCCTAGGCAATATGGCAAAAACTCATCTATACAAAAAATTAGGTGGGCGTAGTGCCAGGTGCCTGTGGTCCCAGATACCTGGAGGCCGAGGTCAGTGGATCGCCTGAGCCCGGGAGGTCGAGGCTGCAGTGAGCCAAGATCATACCACTGCACTCCAGCCTGGGCAACAGTGAGTGAGACCCCCGTCTCATAAAAAGAAAATGTTCAAGACTCAAGACACATACAAAGAAGATCATAGAACTTTATGTTAAGAAAGAACAGACACTATTCAGGGCCCCCAGGTCCTACCCAGGACTGCACCCAAGCTGGCCGGGTTTTCTTTAAAAACAGAAAAAAAAGACGTTATTAAGGATTATAAGACATAGCATGTTCTTAAAGGACAAAGCTGATCATAACGGGGATCGTAGGGATAGCCCAGCTTCTCCCTCACCTTATCTGGGCCCCGCAGTCTTCTGAGCACTTGTCCTTGAATGACCCTTTAACACTGTCCAGGACTCATGCAGGTAGGATTTATACTGTTCTTTCTTTTACAGAGTGCAGCGTCCATTTTATTGAAGTAAAATGGATTTTTGTACATTCACTCCGTGACTCAACTGAGAAGATATCCACCACCCACACAATAGGCAAAGGATTAGTAGTGGAATATGCAAATGGATCTAAAAATCACAGTAAACGTACAAACAACACAATCTTTTTTGTTTGTTTGCTTTTGAGACAGGGTCTCACTCTGTCGCCCAGGCTGGAATGCAGTGGTATGATCTCAGCTCACTGCAACCTCGTTCTCCTGGGCTCGTGCAGACATCCCACCTCAGCTACCTGAGTAGTTGAGACTACAGGTGCACCCCACCATGCCCAGCTAATTTTTGTTTTTTGCTTTTTTTTTTTTTTTTTTTTGTAAAGACAGAGTCTCACCCTTTTTTTTTTTTTTTTTTTTTTTTTTTTTTTTTTTTTTTTTTTTTTTGTAAAGACAGAGTCTCACCATGTTGCCCAGGCTGGTCTCAAACTCCTGAGTCGAATGATCCACCTGCCTCAGCCTCCCAAAGCGCTGGGATTACAGGCGTCAGCCCCTGCACCCGGCCCCAGCAGTACAATCTGGTAACTCGAAAAAGAACTGGCACCTCATGAAAACAGAGAAACGGCCAATGAACTGAAAAGACGCTCAGCCTTAGCAGACCCAGGTACGTCACGCTAAAGCAACGAAGCGCTTCCTCCGCTCTGGCTATGCTCACTGCTGGGAACTGGCAGCTGGGGGGGTCTCTGTCCTGCCTGCTCCCCCTCCACGGCCACTTGCTGCCTGTAGCTCCTCACGCCTAAGTTCAGCTCCATCTGCTTATTCCCTGGAGTGCACCCTCAGCTGCCTTGTCCCTCTCACCCAGCTGGCCAAGCCCAGCTGGGCACCGGGCCTGCACCCAAGCTGCCAGGAGTGGAAAGAGAGGAGACACAGCCATGTGGAGTGGTTTCATTTTAAATTCATGGCCACTAGCTCAAGCGGACACTTGTTGACTACATTTCCCCAGCCTGGTACCACCTCAACATGTCCTCGTGTCCTGGCACACAGAGAGGGCAGAGCTGTGATCACACTGCCTGCCCCCTCTAAATGAAAGGTTGCTGAGCAGAGCGGGAAGCTGCACCTTTGCAGGCAGGTCAAGGACGTGACTTCTGGGACCCAGGGGGGCCCCATGTAAAGGGGAGTGGGGCTGGGCTTGTCTCGAATCTGCCTGAAGTGGGGATCTGGAAGAGTGAAACTGAAGGAGGCTGGAAGTATTCACCTGAAGGCAGAGAGACTTCAGACCCCGAAAAAGTGGCCCGAGAGGGACATTCAGCTTTGGTCACCTGGGAGCCCAAGCAGCGTGTAGGCAGCAGAGACCCCCCCACCCTTGCCGCTGGCCTTGGGCTGCCCCCAGAGGGTCAGGAGCTGCAGCTGGAGAGGAAGTGGGCGGACCCCAGGCTGGAGCAGGAGGCGTTTCAACTCCGAGTAAAGTTGGGAGTTTTGATCGTTACACTGACCGGGACACAAAAATTACTTCACTGAGACTAAATCAAAAATGGGCATGAAAATGGGGCAAGCTTTTCAGCCAGTGGTGGGTGGGGGTGGGGAAGAACACTGGGGGAAGGAACAGTACAAGTGATTTGTCTCTTAATAACTCTCAAAGCTGCAAAAGTGGGTGGGGCTTATTCAAATTAATGTAATTCTTTTGTCTGATTCTCTTCAGACATCAGTGACACTAAACACATGCACAGGGGACCATCAGGGGGCTGGCGCTGGAGGGATTCTTCTTCCACCTCTGCGGCACCCACCTGTGCGCCTGCAAACTGTTCTGTCTCCCTCCCTCTTCCAGGAAAACACTTTTCTATGAATTCACAATGATATTTGTACTATGCTGGGGCTATTTTTAGGAGTTGGTGTGATGAAATATTCAGCGTTGTAAACAGTGTGCACACAAACACGTATGTCTCAAGTGTGTACTTGTTCCGCCTGCCTGGCTGGTGAGAGAACAGCAGCCTTTGGAAAGCAGACGGTGATCTTCGATAAGAGGCTGGACCACTTGCTGGAAAACCTTCAAAACAGGAAGCGGCCACTAGACGCAAGTCACATTCCTGCTGGAGGCTGGACGTGATCCCCCAGGTCGGAATCCCAGGAGTGCTGGGCTAGTGTGTTTATTTGTCCTTGGGTACGTGAAGCAATAGCTCTGTTGCTCCTCCGTGAGGAGATCGCAGAATGTTCCGGCTGGAATAACCAGTCAAGGTAGTGTCAGAAGACAGAGTTATAGCAGGTCTAGCTTAGAGGCCTTCATTGGCTTGTGTTTGCTCTTCTAGAATGGGCAACACCTCATTCTATAAAACAGAGAAAAGGGCTGAGGAAAGCAGAAACCAGAGCAGAAAGCTGATTGGTCTTTTCAAAGTTAAAGATTGAAGCAGGGGGCTTCCTTGCTGTGCTAAAACCAGCCTGTTTGGGGATTTGGCTACTATCTCCTTCTCTCCTGATTTCTTAGAAGCTCAAACAATTTTTCACTTGGTGCTGTGGAAACTCAGCACAACCTGTTTTGGTTTGGTTGGGCCTAGTGCAGGAGCTCTGTCCAAAGCCCGTGGCCTCCTGTCAGTTTCACTTCACAGTGATATGGGACCACCATGCCTAACACTTGTCCGTCCTGTGGACCCTATCTCTTTCATTTTTTTATTTTTATTTTTTAGAGACAGGGTCTTGCTCTGTCTCCTAGGCTGGAGTTCAGTGGTGCAGTCACAGCTCACTGCAGCCCTGACCTCCTGGGCTCAAGGGATCCCCCCTTCTCAGCTTCCCAGGGAGCTGGAACTGCAGGCATGTGCCACCAGGCCTGGCTAATTTTTTTATGTTTTGTAGAAACAAGTTCTCACTATATTGCCCAGGCCGATCTCAAACTCCTGGCTTCAAGTGATCCTCCCACCTAGACCTCTCAGAATGCTGGGATTATAGGCATGAGCCTCTGCACCCGGCTCTGTCTCTTTCAAAGCACAAGTCCACAGTTTTGCTGACATGTGGTGGCAAAGGGGAAAGGCCAGCAGGGAGTAGAGAAGAGGACACAGGCTTTTACCACTGTGTGAGGAGGCAGTGGGACAGTCTGCAGATACTAGGGGAGCAGAAAGCAGGGGACGGCTGGGGCTGGTGTCTGGGCTCTGCTACTGATGAGCTGTGTCACTTGGAGAAGCGACTCACCTCTGTGAAGGTCCCCATCTTTAACATGAGGGTGACCACAACAGCGCTGCCCTCTGAAGCCACCATGATTCCGTGAGTTCACGAGGGCAGTGCACTTAGTGCCTGGCAAATTACAGTGCTTGGTGGGTGGTGCCTGTACCTGACACTCCTGCCCTGTGTTGTTACCTCCTAATAGCCAGCGAGGGGAGGTGTGGTTTCGTTATCTCAAACAGGAGGGGACTGAGGCTCAGAGATCGCATGGCCACATGAACTGGGACTTGGAAACAGGCCCTCATGGCTCTAAGTGCTGGCCTCATCTCCCGTTGCGTCACCAAAAAAAGACAGGATCAGTGATCAGCTGGAGGGGCCAAGCAGGGGCGGGAGGGTGGGAAGAGTGGTTCCTCCAAGGGGACCCAGAAAATGCCAGTGTGACAGGCCTGGGGGCCCCTGACTAGGCAAGTGGAAGACAGAGCACTGGCTGGAGCCTGAGCCGGCAGGACTGAGCCTTGGCCTCTGCAAGAGGCCCAGCAAAAACCCAGCCCAGCACAACAGCTTTGCCCCTCGGTGAAAGCCCTCAGGCTGTATCTGGAGTGGCAGAGCTGTCACTCCAAGCACTGAGACGCTGTCTCCAAGAGCCCTGCCCTTCTAGCCGAGCCCTTTCCCTGGGTCAAAGGAGAATAGTGGAGCTCTTTGGGGGTACACTGAGGGGACCCAGGTCAGGCTTTGTAGGGAAGGCCGAGGACTAAGTTCTGATTTTTTTTATCTTGCCCAAATGCCTATCTACGGGGTCTGGGGAGTCATGCCCTGCAAACCATAAATTCTTATCAGATGGGTTTTATTTAACCCTATATATTGTGACTTACTTTCCAAGCGGATTCTGGTATAACATTACAAGACAAAGAAGAAAATCAAAATATTTTACCCCAAAACATGTTTCTCTGCCGTATCTTGAAATGACCCCGCAAAGCTGTCCTTTGTGGGGGAAAATCTGCATCTGTAAAGACTCTCTAGTAACATAGCTACATTTTTTTCTTCCAGGCCTTCCCAAACCTGAAGAGATTAAAACTCTAGCACCTTTTAAAGATCTGAATAGGGCCGGGCGCAGTGGCTTATGCCTGTAATCCCAGCACTTTGGGAGGCTGAGGTGGGCAGATCACGAGGTCAGGAGTTCAAGACCAGCCTGTCCAATATGGTGAAACCCCATCTCTACTAAAAAATATAAAAATTAGCTGGGCATGGTGGCACGTGCCTGTAGTCCCAGCTACTCGGGCGGCTGAGGCAGGAGAATGGCTTGAACCTGGGAGGCAGAGGTTGCAGTGAGCCGAGATCACACCACTGCACTCCAGCCTGGGTGACAGAGTGAGACTCCATCTCAAAAAAAAAAAAAACTCTGAATAGGAAACATTTGTCATCTGTTGTCTCTAAGAGCAGCCACTATGAGATTCAAAAGAACTTTGGTCTCCACAATCTTTTGTCTTAACCTGAACATTTCCTTTCTTTCCATCCCAGGACTTTAGACAAACTCAACCAATTGTCAACCAGAAAATGTTTAAATTTACCTAGAGCCTGGAAGCCCCGCCCTGCCCGCTGCCCGCCACCCCCACCTTGAGTTGTCTTGCCTTTCTGTACCAAAGCAATGTATTTCTTTTTTTTTTTTTTTTTTTTGAGACGGAGTCTCGCTCTGTCGCCTGGGCTGGATGGAGTGCAGTGGCCGGATCTCAGCTCACTGCAAGCTCCGCCTCCCAGGTTTACGCCATTCTCCTGTCTCAGCCTCCCGAGTAGCTGGGACTACAGGCGCCCGCCACCTCGCCTGGCCAGCTTTTTGTATTTTTTAGTAGAGACGGGGTTTCACCATGTTAGCCAGGATGGTCTCGATCTCCTGACCTCATGATCCGCCCGTCTCGGCCTCCCAAAGTGCTGGGATTACAGGCTTGAGCCACCGCGCCCGGCCACCAATGTATTTCTTAAATGTATTTGATTGATATCTTATGCCTCCCTAAAATGTATAAAACCAAGCTGCACCCGGCCACCTTGGGCATATGCTGCTTCTTTTTTTTTTTCTTTGAGATGGAATTTTGCTCTTGTTGCCCAGGCTGGAGTGCAGTAGCATGATCTCGGCTCACTGCAACCTCCACCTCCCGGGTTCAAGCGATTCTCCTGCCTCAGTCTCCTGAGTAGCTGGGATTATAGGCGACAGCCACCCACCCGGCTAATTTTTTGTATTTTTAGTAGAGACAGGTTTCATCATGTTGGTCAGGCTGGTCTCGAACTTCTGACCTCAGGTGATCCGCCCTCCTCGGCCTCCCAAAGTGCAGGGATTACAGGTGTGAGCCCCCGTGCCTGGCTGGGCACATGCTTTCAAGACCTCCTGAGGGCCGTGTGACTGGCCATGATCACTCATATTTGGCTCAGAATAAATCTCTTCAAATATTTCAGAATCCGACGGTCTTAGTCAACACCCAACTGAAGGGCAGCCAGACTTGCTGGCGGAATGAGGCTGGCTCAGGTGGCTAAAGAAGGGGCCGTGCTATTTGCCAAGACACAGCTACAGGAAGGGGAGCCAGTGGGAAGTAGGAAGGAGGGAGGGACGCTTTGAGTGGGGTTCACTGTGCCTGGGGTGACTGTGGAATAAACATCCAGGTGCAGGCGGGACTCAGGCTTAGGATCACCAGGAGAGGGCAGCATTGAGGCAGGGAGACTAGGGTCTGGAGGCAGGGAACCTAAGGCCGATTCTCACTGACTTCCTATAACTGAATCAAAAGGAAAACCCCCATCTCTCCACACCCCAGTGTCAAACGGATCAGAGGCTACTCCCTTTGCAAACCCCGCTTTTCTGCTTTGCAGATGAAAAGACGAAAGTGCCTCTGACTGGTCCCCTCCTGCAACCAATTAGACTGGTCTCAGGCCAAGTCTTCAGGTGAAGCTTTGTAACTTCACTTCAGCCTCTGATTAGCCACCTGCCACAGCCAATCAGACTGGTTGCAGGCCGCTACTTCATTTACATAGGGTGTAAACCAAGTAACCAATGGGAAACCTCTAGAGGGTAGGTAAACCCCAGAAAATTCCGTAACCAGTGATCTTGAGCCTCTTGCTTTAGCCTGCTCGTACTCTGTCGAGTGTAGTTTTGATAAATCTGTGCTTTTCTTTGGTTGCCTTGTGTGTTTTGTCCAATTCTTTGTTCAAAACACCAAGGGCTTGGACACCCTCCGCCATTAACAGCATTATCTGGCACAGCTGCTGGGAAGAGCCATGGCTGCCGTTTACTCAGAGGGTAAGAGACACTGGCTCTGTGTCCTCTTCCGCAAGGCAGCTCTGGACACCAGCTCTCCCATGTCTGCTCCCAACATCCAGGGATTAGCAAATACCCCACCCACCACCAAGGCTGCACCCCATCTGGCTTTCCTGCCTCCAGCCACGCAGGCGCACACCTGCCATCCTCCCTGTCCATGTGGAGGTGGGAGGCCAGGATGCCCAGCTGGGCACATTCTCTCCTCCCCTGTCACCCTTTTTGTTCATTAACATTGAGGACCAAGCTCTGATTTTTTTATCTTGCCCAAATGCCTATCTAAGGGCTCTGGGGAACCATAAATTCTCATCAGATGGATTTTATTTAACCCTATATATTGTGACTTACTTTACAACCTGACTGTGGCATAATTTTGTGAGGCAAGGAAGAAAATCAAAATATTTTACCCCAAAACATGCTTCTTTGCCATATCTTGAAATGGCCCTGCAAAACTGTCCTTCCTGGGGGAAAAGTTGTATCTGCAAAGCATCTCTAGTAACATAGCTAGATCTTTTTCTTACAGGCCCTCCCAATCCTAAAGAGATTAAGAGTCTGGCACCTTTTAAACATCTGAATAGGAAACATTTGTCATCCATTGTCTCTAAGGGCAGTCACTGTAAGACTTCAAAAGAACCTTGGTCTCCACAATCTTTTATCTTAACCTGAATATTCCCTTTCTATCCATCCCAGGTCTTTAGATAAACTCAACCAATTGTCAACCAGAAAGTGTTTGAATTCACCTATGGCCTAGAAGTCCCGCTTTGAGTTATCCCAGCTTTCTGGACCAAACCAATGTATTTCTTCAATGTATTTGATTGATGTCTCATGCCCCTGTAGAAGGTATAAAACCGGGCCACCTGGGACACATGTTCTCAGACCCTCCTGAGGTTGTGTCACAGGCCATGGTCACTCATGTTTGGCTCAGAATAAATCTCTTCAAATATTTTACAGAGTTAGACTCTTTTCATCGACAACATTAATGCCTCAAAACAGAAAAAGGCCAGGCATGGTGTCTCACTCTTAGACTCCCAACACTGGAGGATCACTTGAGGCCAGGAGTTCAAGAACAGTCTGGGCAACAAAGTGAGATCCCATCTCTACAAAAAAAATTAGCTATTCGGGAGGCTAAGACAGGATGATCACTTGAGCCTGGGAGGCCAAGGCTACAGTGAGCTATGATCTCGCCACTGCACTCCAGAATTGGCAACAGAGCAAGACCCTGATAAAGGAGCTCGTGGAAGGTGCCCTATCTTGCATAGAAGAGATGCTGAGTTGTTCATGCTCCAGTGAGTGCCCTCTCCCCACAGCCCCGCCCTCTCTGTTCCCTTCCCTGAACCAGAGTCGTGAATTCTCACCTAATCCTCTCACAGCTGCCAGGTGATATCCCTCAGGAAATAGCCCCCTATCATCCCTTCATCTGCATACAGCGCCAGTTCATCTTAGTCTTTGTTTTAAGACAAACTCATGCTCTGTCACCCAGGCTGGAGTGCAGTGACGAGATCTCAGCTCACTGCAGCTTCCACCTTCCGAGTTCAAGCAATTCTCCTACCTCAGCCTCCCGAGTAGCTGGGATTACAGGCGCGCAACGCTGTGCCCGGCTAATTTTGGTATTTTTAGTAGAGATGAGGTTTCACCATGTTGACCAGGTTGGTCTCAAACTCCTGACCTCAGGTGACCCCTCCACCTCTGCCTCCCAAAGTGCTGGGATGACAGTGCCTGGCCAAGAATATCCTAGGTTTATGGTGTGCTATGATCCCTCTTAGGGGTAAAAACAATTAATGTATTTGCTCTAAATTCCCTCCAAGCTACTCCAGGAGTATGATTTGCTATTTTTTCCTGGTGAAACCGCCTTTGCAAAATTATGACAGACAGTGAAAGAGATCTAATGTAAACAGCTCCATCTTCCTTCTAACCTCCAGGCTGTCCTTGTTCATTCCTGGGCAGAGGCTGAACTAACTTTGGGAGAAACAGTTTATAGTTTAAACAAAGATGGTAACAGCCCTTTCCCAAAACAGACCTCCTTCTTGCCTGGGGACTACATGGCCTTTGTGGGACTAACATTAGCCACAAGATGAGAAATGACGGTTTAGGAGTCAAGCAGCGGGAGGCTATATGATTCTGACCCTCCCTAAACTGCTCCTAAGATCAGCCCTTGAGATATTTTGCAGACCCTGTACTTGATGGATCAGCTGGCACCACCCAGATCCATAAACTGGCTCATCTGCTCCTCTGGTCCCCACCCAGGAACTGACTCAGAGCAAGAAGACAGCTCTGACTCCCTGTGCCTTCGTCTCTGACCAATCAGCACTCCTGGCTCACCGGCTTCCCCCCACCCACCCAGTTATCCTTAACAACCCTGCTCCCTGAATGCTTGGGGAGACCGATTTGAGTAACAATAAACGCTGGTCTCCTGCACAGCCGGCTCTGTGTGAGTGACTCTTTCTCTATTGCAATTCCCCTGTCTTGATAAATCGGCTCTGTCTAGGCAGCAGGCAAGGTGAACCCTTGGGCAGTTACACTGATGCGCTGCAGGCCCCGTTTAGTCCACCCCGGGCCCTCCTGAGCCCCAAGGCTCTGAGAGGAGGACAGAGGCTGAGGGTGGCAGTGGGGGACCATAGTTCCCATTTCTGAACCTCCTTCCCTGGGAGGGAGACCCCCCTTCTGAGCCCTCTTCCCTGGGAAGGGACTCCTCATGTTAAGGGGGTTCAAACCAGAACATCTCCATCTTGAGTGAGTGCTGGGAAAAGGAGGCTGGGGCTTGCTGGGCTGCACTCCCAGAAAGTTAGGTGTCATGCGCATCCGTGTGAAGAGACCACCAAACAGGCTTTGTGTGAGCAACATGGCTGTTTATTTCACCTGGGTGCAGGCGGGCTGAGTCCAAAAAGAGAGTTAGCGAAGGGAGATAAGGGTGGGGCCGTTTTATAGGATTTGGGTAGATAAAGGAAAATTACAGTCAAAGGGGGGTTGTTCTCTGGTGGGCAGGAGTGGGGGTTACAAGGTGCTCAGTGGGGGAGCTTTTTGAGCCAGGATGAGCCAGGAAGAGGAATTTCACAAGATAATATCATCGCTTAAGGCAAGGACTGGCCATTTTCACTTCTTTTGTGGTGGAATGTCATCGGTTAAGGCGAGGCAGGGCATGTTCTTTTTTTTTTTTTTGAGACGGAATCTAGCTCTGTCACCGAGACTGGAGTGCAGGGGCCGGATCTCAGCTCACTGCAAGCTCCGCCTCCCGGGTTCACGCCATTCTCCTGCCTCAGCCTCCCGAGTAGCTGGGACTACAGGCGCCCGCCACCTCGCCCGGCTAGTTTTTTGTATTTTTTAGTAGAGACGGGGTTTCACCGTGTTAACCAGGATGGTCTCGATCTCCTGACCTTGTGATCCGCCCGTCTCGGCCTCCCAAAGTGCTGGGATTACAGGCTTGAGCCACCGCGCCCGGCCAAGGCAGGGCATTTTCACTTCTTTTGTGATTCTTCAGTTACTTCAGGCCATCTGGGCATATACGTGCAAGTCACAGGGGATGCGATGGCTTGGCTTGGGCTCAGAGGCCTGACATTAGGTATTCTGAGCTTCTAGATGTTTATGGTTAAGGGAACAGATTGACAACATTTACTAAACAGACCCAGACTTAAGAGTGTCCTGATATCCCGATATCTTGAGAACAGAAGCAGTCCTAATTTTGCTTTAAAGATAATATCAATTCTTGCAAAATATAGTAATTAAGAACATTAACTCTTTATCACAAACCCTCGTAGCAGAGCACATCTCCCCGTGATCTTTTTTTTATCCTGTATATAAACAAGTATTGTACCTTGGGTGGACACATTCCTCCTCTTACTTTTGGGAACACCCTGCTCTGTCTATAGAGTAGCTGTTCCTTCACCACTTTTGTCAACAAAGAGTCACACTCTGTAATATATTTGAAGAGATTTATTCTGACCCAAACATGGTGACCATGGCCCATGACACAGCCCTCAGGAGGTCCTGAGAACATACGCCCCAGGTGGTTGGGGTCCAGCTTGGTTTTATACCTTCTACGGAGGGGGAGGGGGCATGAGACATCAATCAGATACATTTAAGAAATACATCGGTTTGGTCCAGAAAGGCGGGACCACTCAAAATGGGGGTGGGGGTGGGAGTGGCCACTTCCAGGCTGTAGGTAAATTTAAACCTTTTTGTGGTTGACAATTGGTTGAGTTTGTCTAAAGACCTGGGATCCAGAGAAGGGAAATGTTCAGGTTAAGATAAAAGACTGTGGAGACCAAGGTTCTTTTGAAGTCTCATAGTGGCTGCCCTTAGAGACAATAGATGACAAATGTTTCCTATTCAGATGTTCAAAAGGTGTTAGACTGTTAGTTAACCTCTTCAGGACTGGGAGGGCCTGGAAGGAAAAGATCCAGCTATGTCACTAGAGATTCTTTACAGACGCACTTTTCCCCCACGAAGGACAGCTTTGCAGGGCCATCTCAAGATATGGCAGAGAAACATGTTTTGGGATAAAATATTTTGATTTTCTTCCTTGTCTCATAAAATTATGCCAGAGTCAGGTTGGAAAGTAAGTCACAATGTATAGGGTTGACTGAAACCCATCTGATGAGAATTTATGGTTTGTAGGGCATGACTCCCCAGATCCCTTAGATAGGAATTTGGGCAAGATAAAAAAATCAGAGCTTAGTCCTCACTTTCTTAATCAACTTGCTTTTGCTTTGCACTGTGGACTTGCCCTGAATTCATTCTGGCGTGAGATCCAAGAACCTTTTCTTGGAGTCTGGATTGGGACTGCTTTCCTGTAACACCCGCTGTAACTGCCCAGTGGATTTCACCTTGCCCACTGCCCAGCTGATTTGTCAAGACCGGGGAACTGCAATTGAGAAAGAGTAATTTACACAGAGCCAGCTGTGCGGGAGACCAGAGTTTTATTGTTACTGAAATGAGTCTCTCAGATACCTCAGGGATCAGAGTGTTTGAGGACGATTTGGTGGGTAGGGGGCCAGTGAGTCGGGAGTGCTGACTGGTTGGCTCAGGGATGAAATTATAGGGAGTCAAAGCCGTCCCCTGGCAGGCCTCTGAGCCCAAGCCAAGTCATCGCATCCCCTGTGACTTGCAAGTAGAGGCCCAGATGGCCTGAAGTAACTGAAGAATCACAAAAGAAGTGCAAATGCCCTGCCCCGCCTTAACTGCTGACATTCCACCACAAAAGAAGTGAAAATGGCCGGTCCTTGCCTTAAGCGATGACATTACCTTGTGAAATTCCTTTTCCTGGCTCATCCTGGCTCAAAAAGCTCCCCACTGAGCACCTTGTGACCCCCACTCCTGCCCGCCAGAGAACAATCCCCCTTTGACTGTAATTTTCCTTTACCGGCCCAAATCCTATAAAACGGCCCCACCCTTATCTCCCTTCGCTGACTCTCTTTTTGGACTCCGCCCGCCTGCACCCAGGTGAAATAAACAGCCATGTTGCTCACACAAAGCCTGTTTGGTGGTCTCTTCACATGGATGCGCATGACATCCCCCCCTTTTGTTCTTCTTGAGACAGGGTCTCACTCTGTCACCCAGGCTGGAGTGCAGTGGCACAATCTTGGTTCATTACAACCTCCGCCTCCCGGGTTCAAGCGATTCTCCTGTCTCAGCCACCTGAGTAGCTGGAATTACAGGCACACGCCACCATGCCTGGCTAATTTTTGTATTTTTAGTAGAGATGGGTTTTCACCATGTTGGCCAGGCTGGTCTTGAACTGGCCTCAAGTGATCTGCCTGCCCCGGCCTCCCAATGTGTTGGGATTACAGGAGTAAACCACCTCATCTGGCTGAAGCTGTCCTCTTGAGACAGTAAAATAGGGTCTGCAGGCAGGGAACATAAGGCTGATTCACACTTCAGCTGTCGCAGGAAATATCCTCTCCACAGGGCATACACCGAGTAAATGACTTTGTAACTTTACTCCATCCTCTTCATTTACACAGGACGTACCCCAAGTAGAGGGTATTTACACTCACAAAAACTCTGTGACGGGGCCCTTGAGCCCCTGTGCTCGGACCGCTCCCACACTGTGGAGTGTACTT